CACACACACACACACACACACACACACACACACACACACACACACACACACACACACACACACATATACACTCACATACACATGCACATACATTCTCCTGTCTATTGATGGGGAGCGCCACCTGCTGAAAATTGGGTCCAGCATTCCATGAACATCGTGAATAAAGCATCAACCGGGACCCCACACACACACTCTCTTCGAGTTGTGTATAGCGAACATGACAAAACATACATACAGCATATTCACTACCTTACCCTTCCCGAACCACATAAACAAACGAATTACGGGTTGCGCACCCGTGCCCTCACGGTAAGTCAATATGTGTATGTGAGAATGTGTGTTTGTTTGTGTGTGTTGTCAAGAAACCCCAAACTCTCCCTCTCATTCCATCTACAAGCCATCACCAGATCTGCTATAATTGGAACGATTAGCATGGCCCCTACAAGCCATCACAAAACATTAATAAAACAAAAGAAGTATAAACGGGATATTTAATATAAAATGCAAGGTGCCCCACGCTTGTATGGTTGAGCGGGAACTGCCCACACACCTATGTGTGTGTGTGTGTGAGAGAGAGAGAGACAGAGAGACCTGTGGCACGCGAACTGTCAATGGCGAGGAGCATAAGGGAAGGCGCTAACCTCGTAAAAACAAAAAGAAAGGTAATTTTTTACTCGAATATAAGAGGGTTTTTTCTTTTCAAAAGTTAAATAGAAAACATATATATTTTTTGGCATTCGAATACAACATATATGCATTATTTTCGAGAAAAGTGTAACATCTAGGCCTTGGGAACGGCGCGTCGTTCCAGGCGCTAGGGGATTCATTTGTTTTTCCAGGACCGCAATCAATACTGGTTTTGCGCCTACAAGGATTGTCCGGCCCTTTGAAGCCCCTGTCGGTAATCTTACACCCTTCCGACGACCTTGGGACCCTACGAAGGACATGTGGAACCAAACGTTGAAAATGACTCAGGTAAATAAACGCAACCCTACAAGTTGCAAACACCGACTTCTCAACTATTTTACTCTGTCTCTCTGATCACGGTGAGTGTGAAAAGGACATCGAATAAGAGGTAATAAATAATTAAATAAATAAGTAAGCAACTAAATAGGCAAAATAAATATATTTGTTGCTTTGTAGTTTAAATACACGAAGGTTATTACAAGCAGGATTTATAGGTTTGTATTGTTAGTTAGACAAACTTTAGAAAGGGTTAATAAAAATAATAATAAAAAATAAAATGAAATATATTACCTTACCGCTTAAAGTAATCGATTACTAAATATCAGATAATATTAACTTTCGAGTACTCGCCAGCAGAACTCCCCAAAGTGGACGCTCCAAACGTAGGTTTTTTCCGATCACGAGATAAGTGCGAATATGTTAAGTTCTCTCCTTTTTCCTTTGCTTCCCTTTTTCTTCTCCTTCTTCCTCCCTCTTTTCCTTTGCGAGATTATCTTCTTCTTTCCACGATCCTTCACCTACCTATTTGTTACAACACACACTCGTGCTCACGTTCTCCTGTATGTTTGCTTGCACTAGCTCGTGCTCCCATTTATTTGCCTGATTGTGTTTGCGCACTCCTTTTCTGTACTAATCTTTATTCCACTGTCGTTCGCATTTTTGCCCTTCTCGCTTGCTCATTTGTTTGCTACCGTATTTTCTCTTTTCTTACAACTACGCACGACCCATGACCTTTTCTTCCTCTTTGAGTTTATTTTCTCCACTTCTTCCTCTATTCTCTGTCTCTATCTCACTCGTTCATTCGCAGCCTCACTACTGACTTTCACTTTTGTAAACTTTTTCGTCTTCACTAATTTGTTATAGCTCGCGCTCATTGCTATTAGCTAGCGCTTGCCTTCCCAACCCTTTCTCTACTATCGGACTCGTGCTTCGTCTAGTGCTCGTTGTCGAGCGCATCGGCCCCTGCCTTTTCTCACGAAGGTGCCAGAGACCTCCCAACCATGTCACGCAAGAGTTAAAAAATAATAATACAAGAGACAATTTGGGAACGAAGTAAAACAATCTCGTGAGCAGCCAAGACAGGCGTGGTCGCGTCGCCTCTTCACCGCTCTAGTCGAGTGCGCCAACTATACATCTCGCGGTCCCCTATGACATGATAGGTTGCCGCGGGGCATAACTTGCCTTCCCTAAGAAGCTGTCACCGCCCTTAGGGGTGTTGTCGGGACAAAAACGCTTACAAGGGTATTTGCTCAGGTTTTTCAATATCAGACATTGTCCGACTTTTTCATTAAATTAAGGAACTTGATGAGACTGACGTCTGCTAGAAATTTATTCAGACTAGCCTATGACCAAGAGACTATTACCTTAGCCCGGACGCTTGTGACGTCCGAGAATAATGGCAGTAATCGGAAGTGTGATCAGTCATACGCGTTTTCTAGCAGGGCCACAAAGTTACACGGTCGTGGGAATGCTAAAGCTAAAGACCTATCCTACCTAAAATAATGACGCACGACTGTTAAGTCGCGCGATTCATGGTATAGGTAGGCATAAAAGAGTGATGCGATAGATATGGAGTTGCGGCGCGAAAGGAATAGGAGGCCTATTTTTCTTTTTTTTTTGGGTCACGGGATTGACTCTGTCTGAGGTCCGAAGTCGGATTGCGGTTAAAGGAATGGCTTATCGGGCCTACTGGGCTAAGCCCCAACCAGTCAGTGGGGCGACGGTCGTTTGGCGATGTGAGGCAAACTGGGGTTGCTCAGTCAAAAAATGGATGACCTGCTGGGCAACAACTCTTCAAATAGGAGAGTTATGGGTCCAACTTCAATGAAAAGGAGCTAGCCCAGTAGGTTACAACATCAAGTTATCACCTAGCAGGCGCTGGGATCGAACCTAACGACACCCTACCGAAATGACTCCTTTTGGAGCGGCCGTAGGGAAGAAAAGTCCGACACGGCCGATTTCAGCCACGTGATATGCAAGATTGCACGGCTTTAAAATGGCCACGCAGCTGCAACATGGCCCTTGCGCAAAATGCTTACACGCATAAACGAATAAATTATCAAAA